TCAAGAATTCTGTTATTGCCACAGAAAACAAACTAAGACAACATCACAGAACAATGTGATACAATTAGGACTGTCTCAAGGTCACTCTGCCTCAAGTGGTTTTGTGTTTATTCAGGCCACACATACAAAAGGCAGCTGGAAATTTCAGTACCTCTAAAGATACGACAAATTAAAAGAAATTACCGGAGACTAAGAATTTTCAAAACTCAGCTAAATATATAAACATTTGAACATTATTGCTTTAATTCACTTTGTAAACAAACTTGGCAACTTCTCCCCTATTCAACTTACCTGTCCTATGGATTCTGGCAGAGCCCAGCCTGGCTGTGCTCTCTGGAGTGCAGCACAATCTAATAGCCTGCATAAATACACTCTCACCAGGTGACCCTAGGGAACTCAAATGCCACCTCAGATTAGCCCAGGGGCAGAAGGGTGACAAGACCTAAGTACACAGTTGTATGGAGACCTACCTAGCAATAGATCTCTCCGCTCAGATCCTCTGAATGGAGAGTGAAACACTGTTCAATTATTTAGGCGGGATTCACTTTCTGATTTTTTACTTTCCTGCCAAATATTAATGACACATAAAATAATGGAGGCTGTGATTGTTTTAAAACCCATAGTCTTTGAATCAGAGTTGATTTCTTATTTGTAATGGTCTGGTCAGCTGCACAATACTGTGTAACCTCATATTTTCCCTGCTCAGGGCCTTTTAGTCATAGGTTCTTATTAGATACTAGCTGAAGAAATAAAATTCAGAGGTATAAGACTCCTTCAGTAAAGACGAATCATATTCATTCATCTTTATTTGGCCTAATCTGGCTTCTGAAATATGTATTTTGAAAATTCTAGGAAGGAAACATAAGGGGGCAATGGGAAAAAGACAAAAGGAATTTGTGATTATTCATATTCTAAAGGTTTTAAAATAGCAGTTCTCCCTCCCACTTAGATATCTCTTAACTCACTTCATCTACGTACAGAGCTTTATGAATAGTAATCTTCCTACCTAGCAGTTGCGTGCTTATTCATTCATTCACATAACCCACACTCACTGTCTTCCATGTGCTAGCCTGGGTACTTCATATTTACTATTCACTTAGCTCTCATTTTTTCCTCCAAGGAAGCAAGATCTTTTAACACACACGTATGGTTAGGGGAGTGGCTACACAGAGCAGCTCTGGGGTAGGAAGGACAAATTTACATTCAAGTTCAGTTCCAGAAACAAGGATAAAACCAAATGCAGTTCAAGGAATTTAATAGAAATCCAGTGTGATTAAAATACAGAAGCCCTCACCTGGATGGATGGATGAGAATTTAAGTGAAAAGAAGGAAAAAACTTTCAAAGACTAAGTCTTCCGACCAAGATGGTGTTTTAAGTTCAGGCATTTATTTTTAACTTATTTTTTATTAGTACATGATGTTTATATTCATCTTAGGGAGTAATTACATGTACTCAGCATACTTTAATTCTTCTTATTCTCCTTCCCGCTGCCATTCTACTTTGTCAGAATACAAAGTTCCAACTACACAGGAAGAGTAAGTTCCAGAGATCTAATGTACAATGTGCTACATACAGGTAATAATACTGTATCACATACACTTGAGCATTGGTGCCTGTATCCATGGATTCAACCAACCACAGTTTGAAAATATTTGAAAAAAGAAATTGTACCTGAACATAAGCAGACTTTTTTGGTCATTGTTTTCTAAACAATACAGTAGTTGTATTTACACAGCATTGACATATTTAGTATTATAAGTAATCTAGAGATGATTTTAAATACATGAGAATATGTATTTGCTATATGAAAAAAATATGCCATTTTATACTAGGGACTTGAGCATCCTCAGAGTTTTGGTATGTATGGGGATCCTAAAACCAACACTTCAGTTGACACCAAGGGACAACTGCACTTGACATTTTCTACCAGAATAGATCTTAAATGTTTTTGCACACATACCCAAGAGTAACTATGTGAGGTGATGGATACATAATTAGCTTGACTATGGTTATCATCACACATTATATACATAAATCAAAACAACACTGTTTAACTGTAAATATACAGTTTTTATTTGCCAATTATATACCTCAATAGAGTTGGTGAAAAAAGACTATGGCAAGTATCTCCATTGATCAGAAATAAAATATAAAGTACAGATGCAAAGTATGCTAACCTATTTCTGTGGACCATCAGGGCTAAAAGTGGCCCCAGACAAAGCTTGGGATCTGAGCCGGGCTCACTGTTAGAAATAAAACAATATGCATAGAGATATCCCCACAATATGACAAAAGGGGGGCTTTTCAAATGTGTTTGCCCAGGGACAAAAAGGAAGCAGCCACAGTCTCTCAACTGGACATGGGCTGTACTGTCTGCTGGCCTGGTGGCAGATCTTAGATACTCCACTGTCATCACCAAAATGGAGCCCCTAGCTGAGCACGTAACACTTGGCTCTGAACAGAGGTCCTTGGAGAAGGAAGTGGCAACAGCAAATCCCTAAAGGAGTCAGGGTGACTGCAGAGAAAGAACTCCTGCAAACCAATGCAAGAGGAGTCTCTCTAACTATAATCCCAAAGTACAGAAAAAAAAAAACTAGCACCTCAAACAGCAGCCAATAAAAGCAGCTTCGCAGGGATCCCCTTTAGGAGAAAGGAAAATATACAACAACCTGAAATGATGTTAAACTGGAGCTTTAAAAACAAGGAGGTGACTGCACAGATTATCTTCAGTTATAGTGTAAAATTCCGCAAATTAAATTTCTTACTATGGAAATCTAAATGTTTAACTCATACTTTCCAGTGATGTGGCTGGAAATGCAGTGTCATCACTATATTTAGCAACTGACAGATAACTAACTACAGCTGTGACTCCCAAGAGACAAAGAGTAACAGCTTCCAAGTCTTCTGTCCCATCAGTCTGTGGAAAGACTGGCGCTTGATTTGGACTAGTATGCTAAAGCAGAGTAGATGTGGACCACCAAAGAAAACAACACAAATGGGGATCTAGCTCTAGCTATCCTTGGTCAGAGCACTTCTTGTTTAGCACAGTATCAGAGGTTGAGCGCTGGGCCTTTACACTGAGCTACGTCCCCAATCTTTTTTTTATTTTGAGACAGGGTCTTGCTAAGTACCTAAATTGGCCAGGCCGGGCTCAAACTTGCAACATCCTACACTAACTGCCAGAGTGCTGGGATTAGTCATATGCCATGGTGCCTAGCTTGGGACATTTTTATTGACAGAGCATATAACAGAAGATAGACTAAGAAAATGAACCTGAAAATTAAACATGAACTGTCTTGACTAAAATTATGCTAAAGGAGAAATAAATATATTGCATTTTGCACCTCTGCTACAGAAAAAATGTTAAGTATTTACTTTTATAAACAACTTACATGCATAGGAAAGCGAGAGATCCTAAATATAAAAGCTGACCACCTGATGATGAAGTGATTGAGTGACTCAGTATTCAAAGTCTGAAAAAACAGTGAGGCTTCGAGCATACTCTTCTTACCTTTATGCTATAGCCTCAAAAAATAAAAATAAAAAAAGCACTATAAAAATCAGATCAATTGCAGACAAAACACTGAAAAAAAGTTTCTGTAGTAGTGAAATGGAAGATTTCACTGAGCTGCTCAGGCTCCTCTGCTGTGGTCAGTACTTGGAACTTCAATGAATCAAGTTCTCTCCCTTCTTCAAAGGAGCAAATAATAAGAGCTGACACTAGGAACAAAAGGGGCGTGGCAGAGAGGAAAACTACACATCCCACTGGAATCCCTACTTCAATTTTGGCTTTAGGAGAGAAAACCCCCTGTGGAAAGTTGGCAAAGCAGGAAAGCACAGTTAACCTCATGAAAATAGAACTCCAGGGAGCCATGATGTATTAGCCAATGATTAATTTTAGTCATTTTATTTAAATCCCAAGTAAATGCTGACAAAGTGCTCCTTCTTAACCCCTCAAAGGTTAAGCCCCTCAAAGGGCTCTCCAGATATCAGGCCCATGGCAAACTCTTAATTTGTCTAGAATCTCAGATTCAAGGGTTGCCAGCCCTCTATGCCAGGCAACGTTCAGATAGAGAGCTCTGCACCAAAGCAACCTAAGTGTGTGTGCGTGCCTGAGGTGGAAGATTGCTCAGTTGTTGCTTCTGAATCTGGAACCAAGTCCAGAACTTCCCATGGGGCAAAGGCAATGCCAACACAGCCAGCAGGCAGTGAAAAGCTCAGAAGCCACTTAGATTACAAATCTGATGTTTCAGTAGCCCCCTCTGAAGTAGGAAGAGTCATAATGATTAATGTGCATTTATTACCATTGAGTAAAAACCAACAAACTCTGCCAACAGAAATTTATTAGAAAGGAAATCAAGAAGCAACATATAACTACCTGACAGTTATTTAGAAATTCCTCAAGTCCTGTGTTCACTTTTTTCTTTCTCTTACTCAATTTCTCTTGACTTTTTTTTTCCTGTTAACTGGTTCCCTCAACCCATTACAAAAATAAAGAGATAAGATTTAAAGTTACTCTGTGGTTGCAAACTACTAGAAGTTTAGTGAAGGGAAGGAAGTGTGCGGGGGTGGATGTTAAAATTACTGGAAAACTGATTTTTGTTTATTTTGGTTAGCAGGGTATATAGTATGGGTCCTAGAGCCAAACAAAGCTTTGGTTTCTCATCTGCTACTTACTAGCTATGTGTCCTTGGGCAAGTAACCTGGTCATTCTGAGTCAGCTTCTTTATAGGGAAAAGGGGAATATTAATACCTGCATTGAGTTGTAAAGACTGAAAAAAGTAATGCAAAGAACCAAATATAGCTCTTCCTCTCAGGTAAGTATGCAAGCTAAATTATTAAATATTATGTATAACTGACTCTCCTCATAGAGTTAAGATGAAAGCAAATGTTCTTCAATGTAGAAGTAGGATTTTCCAAGTAAATGTGCACATTTTAACCTAAAAATTTCCCAGTAATTTAAATCTGTGTCATAAAATTTGCACGAGTTAAACTTTACCTGTCGACTTCCCTGCTTGGAGGAACAGCTACTTGTGCTCCGTGAAGGTGAGACCAATTTTTGGGATACACCGAGGTTCTTCTCATCACTCATCATGGGCAGCTGGTCACTTGGCCTTGATGCAGTCAAAATGCCATCCAAAGGCAGTGGAGCAGAGGATATGGAGTCCCACACAGGCTGGTAGTTCAGCTCTTATCCAATAAATTGAAAAACATTTTTGATTATTCAAAGGAAATCCCTAAAACCAAAAGAAAAGGAATTAGAGAGGTCAGAGGTATCAAATATCATCATGCCCAGGCACAAATCATCTGCAAGTGGCTTATCCATTCTACAGATTACAGAGCCCTTGTGCTTTGCTATAGAGAATCTGTGCAGGAAAAGATGCTTTACTCCTTCCTCTTACTGGAAATTTTGTATAGGTGGTTTTTCATGTATCCTTCAGTGTGTTGGCCCAAGAATATTAATATGGAAATTTAAATTCAGCCGGGCCTGGTGGCGCATGCTTGTAATCCCAGCACTCAGGAGGCTGAGGCAGGAGGATCGCTGGGAGTTCGAGACTAGCCTGGGCAAGTTCCAGGTCAGTGTCAACTACATAGTGAGACCCTGTCGAAGAAAGAAAGAAAGAAAAAGGAAAGAAAGAAAGAAAGAAAGAAAGAAAGAAAGAAAGAAAGAAAGAAAGAAAGAAAGAAAGAAAGAAAGAAAGAAAGGAGGGAGGGAGGGAGGGAGGGAGGGAGGAAGGAAGGAAGGAAGGAAGGAAAGAAAGAAAGAAAGAAAGAAAGAAAGAAAGAAAGAAAGAAAGAAAGAAAGAAAGAAAAGAAAAGAAAAGAAAGAAATTTAAGTCCATACGCATACCAAATCAGTACTGTAAAATATCCAAAGCTACAATGAGATACTATATCACATTCCCTATGATAGCTAAAAGAATAACAATAACAACAAAAAATAAAGTCAGTAACTAATGTTGAAAAGCACATGGAAATACTAGAGCCCTCATTGAGAGTAAGGGCCAGGGATTTAGCTCAGTGTTGCTGCACCTACCTCATAAATGTTAAGGTCCTAAGTTCGATCCCTGGTATCAAAAAGCAAAACAAACAAACCAAAAAAACCCTACAACACAATGTAACAAAAACTGTGAGGGGAAAGTAGAATTTTCTATCTTAGCATATTAATGATTAAAAAATGGTAATTCATTAGGTATATACTATTTACTGCCAAACAAGTGTTGTTTCCTTTAATCAATAGTGTAATGAAAGAGTATTATATTTATTTTATGAAGAAAAAAATTAGGCATCTCAGAAGTTAGGTCACTTTTGCAATCACATAACTGGCAAGAGGTTAAATCAGGCCACTATCCCAGCCCTTTGAACATGGTGTTGAAAACTGGCCCACTCTGTCCAGGTATGATGATAACAGCAGTTGCCACATATTGGTGTGCTGGAAAGCTGGAGAGCTGGATAGGGATACCCCTACTGCCAGCTAGCTGGGCTGCCTCCTGGCACCTCCGCAGCTCTTTGGGAGTATTATCTTGATGTAGGGCTTCCCAGTTTCCAGGGAGTAAAGCCCCAGAATGACCATCTGTATCCACATCCCTGAATTAAGATAAGTAATTGGTTTGCTTTTGGCTTTCAGAAAGTCAAGGATTTTTTTGGTTTTTTGAACCGGGTATCAAACTTGGGAACTTGTGCTTGTAAGGCAAGTGGCAGAACCACTGGGCTCAATCTCCAGCCCTCAAGTATTTATTTAACATGTTAAATTAAAGTAAATTCTACAACTTCCTCTGCATGTTAACCACAGTAAGAAAAATTATATCCAGTCAATACAGTTGCTAATGTTCAGTTTAATTTTAATAGAAGAATGTTATATAATTGTCTGGAAACTGACTAGTTAGATAGAATATCAAACTTTTGGTTAATTATTAAATACTCAAATCTTCTAGGCTTTCACTGACATTGAGCTCTGTATTTATTTATTTTATTTTTTATTTTTTTGGTTTTGTTTTTTGAGGCAGGGTCTCACTATGTAGTTGAGACTGACCTAGAACTCACTATGTAGCCCAGGCTGGTCTTGAACTCACAGCAGTCCTCCTGCCTCAGACTAATATTGAGCTCTTTAAACTACAAAACAACAAAGGAAAATGTCTAAACTTCAGAAAATAAATTAAGGCACCTATAGCCAAAGAAATCCACTACAATTTTACTACCGTCCACAACACACACACACACACACACACACACACACACACACACACACACACACACACACACTCCTTTTTATATTCATAATAGGTCGAATCTTACAATAAATAAGACCAAAAGCAAATCGACACCAGCCTCTTCATAAAGTTAGCTCTACTGACTAGAGCATGACTAAGTGTATTTGAATTAGAAGCAAATTGATCTAGTTACAAACTGCCAATAAATTGTAAAGATATGTCATTAGCTTGTTTAATAAACATGTAACTAACCTGATGGAAATCCAAAAAAACATAATGCATGTAAGTGTGTGTGTGTGTGTGTGTGTGTGTGTGTGTGTGTGCGTGTCTGGGCCTATGTGCATGTGTGTGCCTGTGTGAATGTGTATGGACTACTCTGCTATGGCAACATATCCAGAACAGATTAAGAATATAAACAAAAAACTTCTACTTGTGTGTGTTCAAGTTTTTGAATTTTTTTTTTAGGACTAAGGTTCTGATAAAACAGAGTATATTAGAGTATGAAATGTGAAGGAGAGAAATCGGGAATAAAATAAGAGTCACAGGAATTCAAAAACTGTGCCAAAATGGAATATCAGGGCCAGAGATTTGGCTCAGTGATTCTGCTGCCTGCCTTGCAAGCACAAGGGCCTGAGTTCGATCCCCGGTACATCAAAAAAAAAGAGAGAGAGAGAGAGATTTAAAAAATAGAATATCATAACCCTGTTATAGAGGCAATTGCTAAAAAAGGGCTATCTTTTTTTTAAATTTAAATTTTATTGAGTTTATTGGTACATTTTAGGGATACAGTACAGTTACATTCATTGTTGGGATCATGTACCTTTACATGGCAAGTCTTGATTCTCATTTTTTCCCCTTACCTCTGCCCTCCCTTCACCCCCTCCTCCCCTCCCCATCTACAAACACTTTATTTTCATCTTTTCATTCTCTCACATTTTTTTCTTTTCCCTTTTTGTTCTTCCCCTACGCATCACACCTTCCCTACACCTTTAGCTCCTTTCTTCAAATTTCTAAATGTCAGTAATCTTATTAGAATCTTATGCATTGTTGCAGAATCTTTATCTCTTGACCTTGCCAGTCTCACTTTCAAGGGGACAACTATTTAAGCCAAGATTGTTAGTGGGCCAAATCTGATTCTCATCAAAGTTAGTCCTTATGGTTAGGACTTCTTCCAGCACTCCATCCCTGCCTCTGATCCCTTCAGGGGAAAAAGGAACCCACAGCTCCTCTCACATTTGCACCTTAAGCAAAACCTGGGATTACTGCCAGGGAAATATATCTATTTCATTCCCCAGGGCCTTGCTGCTAGTATCAGCAAAAATTCAGCTTACAGGACAAGGGTGGCTTATTGGACAAAAGAAGTTAAGTTCCAGGAAAAAGGATATACTTAGATGGAGAAGACTAAACAATGAAGGCAGCAGTAGCCCAAGACTAAGGTACCTTGGTGCCAGGATGGTCACTTGGACAAAGCCAGCTATTATTTCCACCTGAGTGGACTCTGCAGCCTGGGCTGGATCACCAGAGGGAAGGACTTGGCAGGAACCCCAAGAAACCTCAATGGAGGGGTATATGCTATTCAAGTAGCTGTCTTCATTGTGCTGACCTAGGAAAACAGCCATGATGAATTTTTTAAGAGGGCAATGGGGCCAGGAGCCCAGGCTGCTGATTCAGGGGTCCCTGCGAGGATTAGGTGGATACCTGTGAAAGCTCTTTGAGTGTATTCACCCCACCCAGTGAACCTGCAGTGGAAAATGTCTAATCAAGGGATTCACTGGTTAGGAAAAAATGTAATAGCTTCCTGGGCACAAAGTTCAAACAGCTTAAGGATGATAATTTATTTCCACCTATTTTTTTTTAACTTTGTTAATTTTCCTGGTATAATTTAATATACATGACAATCACATTCATCACAGGTCCACCTATTTTTAATGAAGTATAATTTCAGTAAAGTAAAATGAACAGATTTTAAGAGTACATACAGAATTTCACATTCGCAAGTACATACTCTTTACCCAAATCAAGAAGCAGAACATTCTGCAGTCTTCCTGAAAGGCTCCGGGGGCCCCAGGGCTGATCCCTGAAGAGCACTGAGCACGGTGTCCTTGCCAACGTGCTGGAGAGATCAAACAGGTTCTAAGGCTGCTTTTGGGTGTTCTGCCTCCAAAATGTATTTGGTGTGTGGTAGAATTCACTTTGAGATCTACTTTCATGTCTGCAAACCACCAGGTTGAGGAGGAAAACTCGCAACTCTCCCTTTTCTTTAAATCAGGGAGCAAGGCCATCAAATCAACTAGGTGTGAAAAGTGGACGCACTTAGGCCAATTTAAAACTGTCCTTCTGGGACTGCTAGATGATCAGATTCCTCTCTCGCCACTGCCACCCGCCCATGAGAAGCTGAAGTGCTAGGCCCTGGGTGAAAAACCAGTGTTGCAGTTGAAAGCCAAATGGTGATAAGTCATTCAAAAACATGGCAACCTGGGGCTTCCACTGGTGTGAAGAGAATGGATTTCCACCAAAACATGGGGAAGAATTAGTAACAATTATTTTGCTATGGCTAATTTATAACTTACTTTTAAAGCAAATGTCATTTAGAAAAAAGTATCTTATTTGGGAAAAGATGGAAAGAAGACATGTGTACACAACATATGTGCCTCAGAGAGAGCCAGCTGAGTCTGCATTGATGCTTCCTTATTACAAATACTGTACCTTGACAAATGAACTATATGCTTTGGTCTTTATGTATAATGTGGGGAATAATAATATCCACCTTTCAGAGAACTGTGAGGATTGAATGAGAAAATGAGTATGAAGTGTCTAGCTTCTATAAAATGGAGACTCAATAGACATGAATCCATTTCCCCCTTTCTTGGCATATGCAGCATATGGTAAGAATCTACATGCCTCCTTCCATCAAAAACAAACAGGGACTCCACAGAATTTTTAAATGTTTGTGTCTTCCAACATATTAACATTTCCTTGAATCTGACCACAAGTGTGAATAGACTATTTTTAAATCATTAAAGCAG